GGGTTTATATAATTTCTTTAAATTTTCACTCATAGAACTTGCATATACTGCCACATTCCCACAGCACTGGGGGAAATATTCTTGGAGGAAGGCTCTGAGTAGGCAGTAACTGAACATATCACAGAGCAATTGAGAGAGAATATGGTGGTAAAGAAGTGGGATAGAATTGGAGAAAAAGTGAAGAAAAAAGACAAACAGGTACTCTGTGGGTTTCAAATTTATACTTCCTTCTTTAAACATGAGTTCTCATAAAGCTCCCTGATGAGGATAAATTAACACATCTGTCTCACCCATACTAGCTACTTCTGGAAGACTATCAAGGTCAGTGGTCAAAGAGTTACTGCAGAATGGTCCAGGGAGAACACCCAGCAAGCCTAAGGCTTGATTATGGTTTTATCCCCTGGGTCTTGCCATTTGAGTGAAAATAAGATGTCAATCAAGTAGTTTTAGGCTTCCACTACTGAGCAGAGATGAACTATTTATGCTGGATGATTTTATAACATAGTTCATTATTTGCAATTGTCACATGGGAAGAAATGGAATTTGTTTCAGATGGTGGAAGGACAAAGCCACTTTTTTGAGCTATATGATAGATTTTCAGAATGCACTATAATAACACATTTTGGGGATAGAAAACACTCTTCTTAAAGGATCCATATTTACAATGAAAATACCTTGTAGTCATGCAATATTTCAACAAACAAAGTGTTTTGTAACTCTGTTCTAACTTTTCTTACACTTGAAAATGATTCCACTATTGATTTATTTTACAATATAAAGTCTACAAAGTAGCCTTTTGGATTTTTAAATGTTAAAAAAGTGCTAACATTTCAATTAACTAAGGTAAAAACAGTTACTTCTTAGATTTATCCCTTTGTAGAGCATAAAGGTTGATTTTTTCCTTCCATATAATCATTCTTGGCAGCCTTTTTCTACTGCTCAACAGCTTCCTCAACAAAGCATACTGTTTATACCCACATCTATTAACTAGAATTCTGTATATTATATCCAAAAGTTACAATTGAATTTTATCTTTAATTTTTATTTTGGATTGCTGATGCTAATAACCAAGAGCTGGCATAGATGCCACAATTTCCTTAAACATGAGAAAATCTCAAAATCAAATATGGTATCATTGACTACTCACAGCATTGCAATGTTGAAAAGACATTTTGGATGACTGCCAAGAACACAGGAAATTGTGATTGAAAACCATAGCATACAATACAAATCTCAGATTGTGTAAGACTTTATGGGCTATGATAATGAAAACATTTGTGTCTTCACAATCATTGATCAAATTAATGATCATAGTCCACATAAGAAGTGCATGAAAAGCACATAGAGCCAGGCATCTTAGATGAAAGAAGAGTATGACAAGTTGTTGGTAGAGATGATGCCAGGGTGCCAGTATACTTTCCTGGGCATGAAATAATGGTCCCAAAAGAAAAACTTATTGCTTATTCTAATTGTGGTTGCTATTGGCCCATATTTGTGGTTAGTTTCTTTATAGCTGTTTAAATAAAAGCATCTTGTAAAGTTTTCACCCATCCCAAAGAAGCTGCAACTTTGTGGCCAGTGTTTAATGCAATATAGGAAGAATAATTCAGGCAACTGATAAAAGAGGAAAGCATACTGGCTTGGCACATTGTTTGCTGATGCAAAAGCCATATCTACATAGTATTTACTGTTTGACCTCCAGTGTTGTTTAATTCTCTCACATTACTTGTGCCCATGGAGTTAGCCTTACTGTTAAAGATAAGGAGTGGAGCCAACAAGAAGTATGCAAAGGGAAAAACATGTTTAATCTCAGAGACAGATTTATCATGAAGCCAGTGAAGCTTAAGTTTTAGGGCCTCTCACTTGTATAAGCCCCTTCCAAGGCCCTGAGAGTATTTTATGTTTGTAATATTGTTCAAATTTATATATATTTTTTGTTTTCTTATTTGAAAGTTTAATTTGTGGGGCACCTGGGTAGCTCAGTTGGTTAAGCGTTCTACTTCAGCTCAGGTCATGATCTCATGGTTTGTGAGTTCAAGCCCTGTCATCGGGCTCTGTGCTGACAGCTCAGAGCCTGGAACCTGTTTCTGATTCTGTCTCTCCCTCTCTCTCTGGCCCTCCCATGCTCACATACTGTCTTTCTCTCTCTCAAAAATAAACACTTAGAAAGTTTATAAAGTATAAACTTATACTCTCAAACTCTGTGAAGTTTAGGCTCTCAAAACCTGGCCTCCCCTGTTAAATGTGTGCCTCACCAGTAGTCGTTTGTGAATTTGATTTGATATCCTTCAAATTCCTAACACCATCTCCATATTCCCAACACGTCTGAATCTATAGCTACAAAACAAACATTTTGATGAAAATCAATAATAATCCATTTCCATGTTAGGAATTAATCAATCCCTAGTCAGGATATATGCACTAGTTAATGATTTCTTTCAGAGGCCACTACAGTAGGAAATAAAGTTGTAGGCCTGTGAAACAATATGAGATTCATACAATTATAAGTGGCTTTAGCTGTCATTCACTCAAATCCTACATCTTACATAGGAGAACCTGATATTTAGAGAGGAAATATTACTTGTTTAAGTTTATATCTAGGTTATTAGTGGTAAAGTAAGGATTTCAAGAAAATTATTTAATCCTCATGCTAATTTGTACTATTGTTTGCATTTATTTGGTTCATCATTTATAAAGTTTATTTCCTAACATGCTTGGATTTGAATATTTTGCAAATCAAGTTTAAAATTCTATATGTCTCTACAACTGAGAGACAAATAATTTTCAATATTTGAAATCATTACTTTGTGTACTTCGCCACCAACAAAGAATGTCATATTTTTGTATGTAGCTTACAGTTTAATTACATCCTTGATACAATTGAACAATAAAGATAACAGTTTATATTTTAAAGGTCTATCCACTTTTCAGGTCATTTACTTACTATTTCAACACAAACAATTCTGTATTAAAAATCTCTGCTCTCTTTAATTAAATTATAATGCTAAGATTGTTTTCTATGACTCTGTAATAATAATTGTGTTATGTTTACAAAGATAACAATAAAGTAAGACTTAGCAATAAATTAAAATGATCCTTGGAATACAAGCATGACATTTGAAAGTTTATTTAAAATTATAGCTTTAAAAAATTTCATGTTAAGTCATGTACTTTTTCTGTTGGAGCAAGTCTAAAAGCTATTTTTCCCTTTCCTTAAAAAGGAGACATAAGTCATAACTACATTACTTTGTAAAAGTACTGGAAACTCACATAAAATACTAAGACAGATGTAATCATTTGTAATTGGGCTAAAATAATGCACATAAAATATGCTACCTGACTTCACTGGAAACTAATCTTCAGGCTTATTATTTCTGACCTTAAAAATTCCTTAACTCAATGCATTATAAAAATCTTTACAAAAAGTTTGTAACATAATACATACAAGTAATATAAAATGCAGATAAGTTAATACTAGACTCAGTGGTTAAATGAACAAAAGTTATGAACAGGCAATTCAGCTGAAAGGAAATAAAAATGGCTAATAAATATAATGAAAAACATTTAACCTCATAAATTGTAAGATAAACAAATGTGACTAGGATTATGGCTATGACTGTCACTTACATAATTCTATTTATATAAATAGTAAAAGCATAATGAAATGGTTATGGATGCATGCTGCTGATAAAAGTATAAACTAATACAACTCTTTAGGAAAATTGTTTTTTCAATATATATTAAGAAACTAAAAATATTCCTAAAGCTTCAACCAGTAATTTCATGCCTAAGCAAATAAGACTGAAAAAGGCTTTATGTGTTGAAATTCATAATTATGCACATCAAAGCAGTATATATAATAGCAAAAACTTGAAATAATTTGAACACCAACAATGAAGAAAATAACAAGTTAATTATATGATCAAGTTATATGATCAAGTTTATATGATCAAGTTATATATAAAATATATACACACATGCACATATATATGTGAATATATATATATATCAATATTGTTAATGCTTAAAGCAATTCATGCTTTTCTATATTTTACACATTTTAGATAATGAGCAGTTACTACTTTCAAATCCAAAAAAAATAATTTTAATAATAATGATAAAGAAATGCAGAAAATAGGAGAGACATATATTAGTGTATAAGGAAAATGTCCAAGCAATCAAACACATACTTAAACAAAAATGAAGCTTGATTTTGTAATTCTAGTAGGAATAAAGACAGATAAAATCCAATACTGGTGAAAATAAAGGTTTTAATTTGGCAGAATTCTTCTGGTCGATAATTTGATAATATAAATAAGCTTAAAACAATTTTACATTCTGTCACCATAATCAAAATCATAAGAATGTAACCTATGAAAAAAACCCTGTACCATTTTTTAAGAACTTTGTTTAAAAAAAAAACCCTGAATCATAGTAAGGTATTAATGAAAATTATTTGAATAATTAAAATACATTATACTTACAAAGACAATTATATCAGCTTTACTTTAAAAAATGTTTAATTATTTATTTTTGAGAGAGAGTGAGAGGGAGGGGCTGAGAGATGGAGAGAGAGAAACCCAAGCAGGCTCTGAGCTGGCAGTGCAGAGCCCGATGTGGTGCTCAAACTCAAGAACCTTGACATGATGAACCGAAATCAAGAGTTGGACACAGACTAAACCACCCAGGTGCCCCTATAAGCTTTACTTCTAACAACTGAAAATTGGTGGCAATCTACATAATCCAACAATAATTGAATGATCATATAAGTTACAGTATATAAATTCAAGAGTAAAAAAAGGCACTTACTTAAAATTAATGTAATGGAAAAGAAACATGTGATTACATCATTTCATATACTGTATTCATTGAGAAACATTGGAAGGAAACCAAAACTTCATAAATAATTGTTGTATTAAATTAGAGACGATTTTATAGACATTTAGAAATCTTTTTAAAATGTTTAATATTAATGATAAATCTTTTTTTTAATTGCTTACCACTTGCATCCTAGATACTTTATTTTCAGGGGTAAGGAATGCTAGAATTTGTGTTTCCATTCTTGTAAGATGAGGTGGCAGAGCAAATATGTAGTGACAGATTTTATTCACACTCTTGCACTACAAAAGAAGAAAACAAAGAAAGAAAAGAAAGAAGATGCATAAAATCAATGTCTCTAGCTCAATTCTAAAATGTAATTGACATAATTTTCATTATTCAAAAAATGACCATATATATGAATAAACAAACACATGTGTGTTTGTATTTACGTTCAGTGGAAGATACAACATGACACACCAAGAGGATGAAAAAATATATTGTCTGTTTTCAGTCAACTGTGTAGTATCCAAGTATAAAACTGGGTTAATTTTTAGGGACTCAATTGTGGTGTAAGCAACATGCAAATGAATAAGAAACATTTAAAAAAATAGATATTAAATATTCATTTATTTTTGAAGAAAAATTCATGGAAATTTTAGAAAATGTAGAAGAAACTAAGAAATTATCTATCACCCAGAATCCTGCCCACAGAGAAACAAGGTAAGTATTACATTTACTTATCATGACTTCCATAAATAACTATTTACTGTGGATTTATTTTAAAATGCACTTTCTTTTCTTCTTCAATTTTTACCAAATTTCACTTTATATTTTTGCTTCCCCCATAAAACAAATAAAAATCCAAATATTATATTAATTTCAACTATAAATATTTTCAAATGTATAACTAATAGTTATAAACTTTTAAAAACACTTCCATAATAATATCACAACCAGCAAAATTAACAAAGCTTCTTAATATAATCTAATGTTCAGTCCATGTTAATTTTTTTTTTCAATTATTTTGTTTGAATCTGGATCCAAACATGAAAATGCACTTTGACAAAGATTTTTGTATATCCTGTATATATGCTCTCAGGGGCCATTTTGTAATTTCTTTTAAATATGGCATACTGTCTAAAAGAAATTTGAACTGTATGAATTTTAATATTTTGACATAACATAGAATTTTATTCTGACTGTCAATAAGAATTTTAAAAAAGAAGGTCTCAACAAGTACAAAAAGACTGACATCATACCATGCATATTTTCAGACTACAATGCTACGAAAATTTGAAATCAACCACAAGAAAAAAATGGGGAAGACTACAAATACATGGTGGTTAAAGATCATACTAAAGAACGAATAGGTTAACAAGGAAATTAAAGAAAAAAAATTTAAAATACATGGAATCAAATTAAAATGAAAACACGATAGTAAAGAATATTTGGGATTCAGCAAAGGTGGTCCTAAAAGAGGAGTATATAACAATACAGACCTACTTCAAGAAGCCATAAAAGTCTCAAATACACCTTACCCATAAAGGAGCTACAAAAGGAGCCAACAAATGAAACCCAAAGCCAGCAGAAGAAAAGAAATAATAAAGACTAGAGCAGGAATAAATGATATAGAAACAAAAAAATCCCAGAACAGATCAATGAAACTAAGAGCAGGTTCTTTGAAAGAATTAATAAAATTGATAAACCCCTAGACAGACTTATCCAAACGGAAAGAGGAATTACCCAAATAAATGAAATCACTAATGAGAGAGGAGAGATCGCAACCAACACCACTGACCTGCAAACAGTTGTAAGAGAATATTATGAAAAATTATGTGCGAACATATTGGCAATCTGGAAAAAATGGACAAATTCCTAGACACATATAAACTACCAAAACGGTAAAAGGAAGAAATACAAAATTAGAACAGACCCATAATCAGGAAAGAACTTAAATCAGTAATAAAAAATCTTCCAACAAACAAAAGCCCAGGGCCAAATGGCTTCCCAGAGGAATTCTGCGATTAAAGAAGAGTTAATACCTAGTCTTCTCAAACTGCTCCAAAAAATAGAAATGGAAAAAAACCTTCAAAAACTCATTCTACAAGATCAGGATTACCTTGATTCCAAAACCAGACAAAGGTCCCATTAAAAAAAGAGAATTACAGGCCAATATCCCTGATGAACATGGTTGCAAAAATACTCAAGATACTAGCAAATGAAATCCGACAGAACATTAAGAGAATGATTCACCATGATCAACCGGGATTTATTCCTGAGCTGCAGGGCTGGTTCAGTATTCACAAATCAATCACCATGATACACCATATTAATAAAAGAAAGGATAAGAACCATATGATGCTCTTTATGCAGAAAAAATCATTTGACAAAGTACAGTATCCATTCTTGATAAAAACCCTCAACAAAGTAGGGATAGAGAAAATACACCTCAACATCATAAAAGCCATTATGAAACATCCACAGCTAATATCATCCTCAATTGGGAAAAACTGAGAGGTTTTCCTCTATAGTCAGGAACAAGACAGGGGTGTTCATTCTCACTATTGTTATTTAACATAGTGCTGGAAGTCCTAGCCTCAGCAATCAGGTAACAAAAAGAAATAAAAGGCATCCAAATCAGCAAAGAAGTAAAACTTTCATTATTCACAGACGACATGACGCTCTATGTAGTAAGCCCAAAGACTCCACATGAAAATTGCTAGAACTGATACACAAGTTCAGTAAAGTCATAGGATACAGTATCAATGTACAGAAATCTGTTGCATTTCTATATACCAATAATGAAGCAGCAGTGCAGAGCCCACTTCAGATTCTGTCTCCCTCTCTCTGTCCTTCCCCTGCTCATGCTCGCTCTTTCTCTCTCTCTCAAAAATAAACACTAAAAAAATATTAAAAAAATAAAGAAATCAAGGAATGGATTCCATTTACAATAGCACCCAAAACCATAAGATATCTAGAAATAAACTTAACCAAAGAGGTAAAAGATCTTTACTCTGAGAACTATAAAACACTTATGAAAGAAATTGAAGATTACACAAAGAAATGGAAAAAGGTTCCATGCTTATGGATTGGAAGAGCAAATATAGTTAAAATGCCTACACTACCCAAAGCAATCTACACATTACATGAAATGCCCATCAAAATACCACCAGAATTTTTCACAGAGCTGGAACAAACAATCCTAAAATTTTTATAGAACTACAAAATGTAGTTTTGATTCAAGCAGCAGCAGCAGAAGCAACACCACCTGTGTCAGAGAGTGGGATCCCCAATTCTCTGTTTGTAGATTTACTAGGACTCATAGGGCTCAGCATATAGTTGTACCCATGGTTTAGATTTATAAAAGTAGAGTAGTAAGAACACACAGCAGGTTCATAAAATAAAATGACACAGGCAGATTCTGGAATAATCCATGTGTAAGTTTCTTTATGCTTTCTCCCTCCTTTAAGGGATCACAGAAAGCAAATTATTTTTCCAGGAACAAAAATTGCAGCAATACCAGTTTGATTTTTTTTTATTGGGGATTGGTCACATATACAATTTCTGCCTAGTACATATCAAAATTTCAGATTCCCAAAAGGAAATCAGGTATTCAGCATAAATCACATTGTACAGATACTATGTGTACAATGAGCCACTCTTACCATTTACCTAACAGAGAAAAGCCAAGTTACCAAACTTCAACCAAGCCCAACTTTGCAGAGTTTTCTAAAAATTGCAATCTCAATATTGATAAATTAATTTTTTTCACACCACCACTACCCAAATGGTACTCCTGGTTTTCATACCACCACTAGCTAAGTGGGACTCCTTTCCAAGCATTAAATGAAAGCAATTTTAAATGCAACTGAAATGCCATCAAAGAAATACATATCTTACCTGTAGAACCTGAATGACTAATGAGAGGTATAGAGTAGGTGGTAGCACTTAGGACAGAAATCAAGTTTCTATGCTGCAGGATAATGTTATTTGCATTTAACAATATTGAAAAAATGTAATATTATTTCTTAGTACTATTAAAACGGTCTATAAAGCTCAGGCAATTCAAAGTACCTATTTTCTTAACTCTTGAAATAAATCCTGTCTCGGAACCATATTCAAGTCACTGATAATAAATCATAAAGTTCAATTTGGTACTGAATAAGAAAGGTAATTTGGGGAGAAAACTAAATTAAGGTTAGAAAAATCTATCATATTAATAAAACAAACCAGTACGAGAAATTTTACATATTCTTCCTACTAGTGTCTCTCCAACTTTCTTGACCATAATGATCATAAGCAGCTCTTGTTAAAAATATAGATTCACGAGCCACTTTACTTGAAGATTATGAATAGATAATATAGCACTATGGTCAAAGTTACCGATTTTAGAAACAGACTTCCTATACTCATAACTTAGCTCTACTGCTTGATAGCTGTGTAACTGCAGGTAAATTAAACAACCTCTATATGCCTTAGTTTCCTTATGTATAAAATGGGGACAAAAATAAAATGCTACCTCATAGGATGGTTGTGTGGATTAAAAGAGTTAATATATGTAAAACAGAGCCTGGTAGCCTATATGTGAAAATATGCATACCTATTGATATACATATTCATATACATGCAAATGCAAGCATAAATTACATATGTGTAATATATATATATATATAAAGCTTTTGTATATAAAAGGCACAAGATGATGATCTACAACAATAATTTGGTAGTCCTCTACAGACAAAAGTGTCTTTGTGGAATCTTTGGGATCAAGGGAAGAAATTGTAAAATCTCGCTAAAGTACAAGACTCAGGAGAGACATTTTGAGAAAGCATGCTTACACATATCTTGGTGGCTAACCTACTTACCATGGTCCCAGCTACAGACCCAGAAAAGCTCCACATCCCTGTGAACTCAGCTACAGCTTGTTTGGCTTTGGTCGTGCTAACAATATCATACACTAAGGGACCCAGGAGGAATCAAACCCATCTGTGCATTGGCTGGGCATGCTAACTGGACAAAATGCCAAGACAGAGGAATTCATCTCAAAAGAAAGAACAAGATAAGGTCACAGCCAGGGATCTAATTGAAACAAATAAATGTAATATGTCTGAACCAGTATTTAAAACAACAATCATAAAATAAAATAAAATAAAATAAAATAAAATAAAATAAAATAAAATAAAACAACAATCATAAGGATACTAGCTGGGCTTGAGAAAAGCATAGAAGACACCAAAGAGTCCTTACTGCACAGATAAAAGACATAAAAACTAGTCAGGCCAAAATAAAAAAATGTGAT